TTTTACACAAAGGTATAGCCACTTGTCAGATTGTAAAGGATCTTAACTAGCGAAGAAGGAAATATTAAATTAATAACTCTTTTCAGTTTTCAATGTTTCAAAATTTTTTTACTCTAGCAGCATCTTATTTAATTTCCCTTCCTTTCTTCCCTCCTTCCCTTCCTCTGTCATTGTATCCAAATTTTGCAAAGAAAATTTGGAAGAACAGATTAGAACCTACCTGTATGATATATATATCACAGCTACACATAATTCTGAAATGCTGTCCTTTGTTTGAATAAAGCTTCCACAGAATAGAATGGTTGTGCAATTGCATAATTTGTTTTTAAAAAAAATACTGAAAAAAAAAAGATGGTTCTTTTAATACTCACACCTATGTGTTCTTCTGTTTAGGCCATATCCAAGGGGCAGATATTCATTTCTATGTTTTATATTAATTTCACATTATAAAAATATTATAGAAATTAATCAAATACACAAACTCAAGAGAAAGAATTTTTGACTATGCAGCAAATGCATCACATGTATCCACAGAAGCCATTGATTTCTATTTTGACCACTGATGGGTCCTCAGATGAAAAATTAATTTCATCGATTCCCAAGAAAAAATTAAACAAATCAGAATCCAGAGAAGTATTAGAGGATTTAAACAGAAAAGGTGATGAAAAGGTAAAAAAAGACTGTGCTAATTGGATTTCTTTTCTCTGAAGTGGAGGCTGGGAGCAGGTATGACAGTGATCTTACAATAAGTAATAGAGCTCTATAAAAGGATGGTAATCAACAGTTTACAGTGCCCACCATGAGGAAAAAAATGCAAAATACTAAGGCTGGATATTACAAAGAGTTATCTAGCAGTCAGAGAAAAGAAATGCCAAAATAGTCTGAAGAGTTCTGGAATCTGCTCCTCTGAGAGCTTTTAATATCTTCCAGGGTGGCATGCTTGATCCTTTCCCAGTCCATGAAGATAAAAAAGCAGTCTTCTAAAATCCCTGTCAGCTCTGCACTTCTATGGTTCCTTACTGATGTAACGTAACATGTGGCTTTAATGGGACACAGCTGCCTAAAAGCATTTTATGAGTTCTGGTAGCTAGCCAAAGGAACAATATAGGGACCTACAAATAGCAGGAATGGGACACAAGAGCTATTGTTTGTAGTCATAGGTTTCATTTGTATGTTACTTGGTTGGAAAAAGTTAAATCTTGCTTATTCACTTATTGCTGATTCTGTCTGTTTAAGGCATGCAAAGCAGGGAAATAACAGAATCGAAACTCTTACTCTGAATTAAAAATTTCCAAATTGCTAAGTGCACCTAGGGGCTATCAGCACAGAGAAAACAGAATTTGTTCTTAGGAACAGGCATAATCACAACTTTGTTCCAATTAAAAGATATTTTTCCGTTGTTGTCTCTCCCTTCTTACCATTACAGTTGCCGTGACCTAATGGGAATTCAAACTTGAGCTTATTCTCCAAAATTAAAACCATCCACTTTGTAAATTACAAAACCACACACCTCCCATCTGCTTGTGGCAGAATTTGCTCTGGTTTTGCAAGAAGAAGTATGTGGGCCCTCTGTTGCATCTGATGAAAGGAAGATTCATTATTAAAGGCTTCTCATGGCAGCTCTGCCCTGGTGAGAGTGAACAAGACTGATTCTAGGCAGTAACAGAAGACAGCCAAAAGACATCACACTGCTGAACTTTAATTTGACAATGTAACTTTATTCCAGATATGCACATCACATATTAGTGTCATCTGTAACTAGTGGGTAACTAGAGGTGGGTCCTAAACCACAAATTAAACCCTTTCCTGGGTTTTAGTTAATTTAATTTAATTTAATCCTTTATGGTTGAGCAGACAACCAGAAACCATTCCTAACAGGCACTTAATTTAGGTGCTCACCCTCTCTGGGTGCAAGCTGACAGCATCTGGTAAAGAATATTGGAATTACATGAGGGGTTTGTTCCATTAGGGAGCTCATTTACTGCTCATTAAGCAGGCAAAATCTTCAAACAGAAACAAACTTGGAAAAGGTTAGGTACACAAAACACTTCATTCTTCCAAGCAGATTCAAATTTCAAATTGGCATTCACCTGCCAATATTGTGACGGGGAGGAAAAGCACCATATTTTAATGTGCATAATTTTAATTAAATACTGATCTTGTGGTGAAAAAAGTACTCATCAGACTTCATGGCAGTGATTCAAATTCACGTGGAAGCTATGCACAGCCTTTACACACCTTCAGGTAGTACCTACACAGGCAGTTTAGTGGCCCTTGTTTTCATTCTCGGGTCCTGATCCAGCATCTGCTCTGCATAAATATTATAACATTGTTGGACTGTCTTGTGGATAAAACCAAGAGCTGCAAACTTGTAAAGGAACATCAAAGCTTAGCCTAGTTATTGTCATTGTTTCTGTTTGTAAATTTCCATTGCCACTTTGCTTACACTTTAAAATAGATTTTCCTCTTGGTTCCAACAGAATAGCTCAGGTTTAAAAATTATTTCTTTAATTTCTTTCAGTATTTCTTTCTTTAAATTTAACTTCTTTAAATTTGACAATATAAAACAATATTGTTTTAAAATATTGCATACTGTTTAGCTCAGTGGGGCCTTGTGCCAGCTAGTGTAATATATTTATTAAAATCCTTTGCTATTAAAACCCTTTGTTATTAAAAAAACCTGACACATGGACTTGCACAGACTGTTCAATCCCCCTATTTTGTATATGTGTTAGGCAAAGGGAAACATTTTTCAGATGTAAATAAACAAGGACAAAATTAAGGTTGCATGGAATATTTTATCTCTGGAATCCATTCATTCTAAGTTTTTGGCACTGCAGAATTGAAAATGCACTCTAGAATAGGTGTTGTGTACAGTTGTTTTGGTCTGAAAAACAAAGTAACATTCTTTCACTAATGTTACATTGTTCTGATCCCTCAATTAAAGAGAATAACTAGAACCACAAAATCCACAAAACCATCTCCTGTCCCTTCTCTTATTTTCTCCTTTCTCAGGCTGGTGCCTCCTCTCACATAAGTCTTCCTATTTTGTTTTTCACAGCTGATGTTAGTGCTTACTGCTTAGCCTCCTGACTGAAGTTCATCTTCTCATAGACACTACAGTGGAACTTTTTCTTCACTTTTCCAGTCCCTCCCTCAGGAAACACCTGCTTTGGCTATATGGCCCACCAGCCCCATTTCTTCTATTCAAGGCTGGTAAAAAAACCTCTGTCTAACCCTTAACTCCCTTCCTCATTTGTTGCCCTAATCTCTTTGTCCAACTGATCCAGACTACTAAATCCTGGTTGTTTTTACCCAGCAGAGTAACCCAAACACTGTTTTCACTGCCCCATTGGCCCCCACTCCCTGTATTCTGTGGTCTTCCTACAGCCAGATCCCTTGTCCTAGTCTCTTGGTTTGGTCCCTGGATCAAGGTCTTCTTTGTTATTCTTTTTAATTTTATAATTTTATATTATAATTCTATTAAGCATTGAAATGAAGAGAAAGAGCCCCTGATCTTTTTAACAATGTCCAGGGCCAGTGTAGCCAGCAGCAGTTTGAGAACTTCGGTTACAGGAGACATCTGCTGAGCCTGAACTGTCCCAGCCTGGGCACACAGAGATAAACTATAGGGAATAAGGCTGAAAACACCCAGCAAGCATGAGCATATTGGAATTACGTGTTCTTTAAGCAGCTTACAGCTTTGCCAGATTTGGTCTGATTTCACGGAGATAAGAGCTGTCCTTTAGCCAATAGCCACTTCTCTTCCAAGTGTCAAGCCTCCACTCAGAAAACACAGATGCACTCAGGCAAGAAATGAGAGCCAAACAGGACTTGAAAATACCTTTGGCAGCCCACACAGTATATGTGAAATATCCATTAGTCTCCACATTTTCTACATTAATACAAAGCGTACACTGATTCTCCTCACACTAATGAGATCATGAAATCACGACCTGCGGATCAAAGATCACACAACTACATTTAGAGTTCCACAAAGAGCAGATTATCTTCACTGTGCAAAACAATTTCTCTAGCCTTATTAAAAGAAACCCGAAACCTGGGGAACTTCTTTTGATTAATTTCCACATGAAGCGCTTCAGCACACCAGTACAAGAAGTCAGATTTCAACTCAGACAGTTATAGTTTGGTTACATTATAATCATCTGAAAACAAAGTCTGTAATGGGAAGTGTCAGACAACTTTAATAGGTGGGGCTGATAGAGCCACCTTATCAGAGGGAAACACACGACACATGCAGGGAGATCAGCCATAAAATAACCTCCTTCTCGTTATTGCCCTGCAGGTCCAGTAGCTCTCACACTTCAAGCCACTTGAATTTTGGCAGCCCAGTGACTAACAGCCAGAAGCACAATTCCAAGCTGATGATAAAACACGGACCTCTCAAAACAACTCATAACGGCTTTTCCAGCTTGTAGTTTTCAATGGGTGAAATTAGCAGGAGTTGTGCACTTGCTGCTACACTGTATGTTCTAAGTTATCAGTACTTTCTGGAAATTTCTCCAAATGTACACCTGTAGCTGATAGTTTCTGATACAGTCAATAGCCCCACTGAATACAGACAAGAGTTATTATGCAGTACTAAGGGTAAGGTTATCTCACAGGTACCTCCCCAGCCCCGTGCACAATGTAAAACACTGTTTTGGTGCCAATGGGTATTTCTGCATTTCTGCAACATGGAACTTCACAGGGAGCTGTACACAATGTATTTTACTTGGAGTACAGTAGATAAGCTGTCATTTCTGCTTTGGGAAAAGGGCATCCCACATCTTACTGATTATTGCTCCAAAAGCCAATTCTCCCAAAAGCAGGCTGAGACAGAGTCCTGCTCTCATAGTCTAGAACACAAAAATGCACAACAGGTATAACACAGAAAAACCTACATTGACTTACTGTACATGTAAATAGAGACATGCAATTAAGTCACAACAGATATAAATCAAAACAGGAACAAACCAAAAAAAATATTAATTACCTACTTTGACAGATTCATACCTGCAGTCTTCTCATTCTAAAGCAAAAAGCCAGGAGAGAGAATATTCAAATTTCTTGTCCATTTGGGTGGCTTCTTTGCACATGTTCCTGAATTTTCAGCTATGATGAGATCCGCTCATTGGCAGTCACCAAGAGGCTGATATGACCATGAAATGAGGAAACACAGGGAATGAAAAATAAGGTACTAGCACCACCGTTTGCTGAGGGCTGGGAAAACTAGCAAAAACTTTCAGAGCCCATGTAGACCTATTTCTCTAATGCTGGATGCTTTTAACTCACCATTGCTGCTATTGGAGATGCTTGATCAAAACATGCTTTCAGCATTAATTACTTGCCAGGAAAATCTTAATGAAATCCAGATGGTAATTTTTGTTCCCAGCACTATAAATCTTTATATGTAGAAACAGTTTCAAACAAGGGGTTATTTTGGCAATTTGAGTTAAACAAAAATATAATTGAGAGCTAACCATACATTGAAAGGGAGCATAAAGTGTCTGGCAGAGGTGGACTGAGACAGTTTAGCACAATTTCTTTCCCCCTTGAAAATACATATTTTATTGTTTCTCCTTCTCATCCCAACACTAAGAAATATGGGGTTTCTGCAAAGTGACCCTGGAAACGATGAGCTCTCCTTGGCCAGCCCTTCCCCACTGTCACATGGTGTTTCCATTTCTGAAGCCTCCTGTTTCCTGAAGCAATTTAAGTTCGCTTCTAAGAAAAACTCCGGAGGTCTGTGAAGCAGAAAAGTAGCACAAATCTTAAAAAAGGAGCACAGTTTGATTTTAAAATACATTGGTTAAGAAATAGATTTCAACACCTACATTGCAAAGTGTAAATGAGATTCAGATAGACTTTTAAAACCTAATTTTCTTCTGGCTTCTCTGCTGTCTGCTAGTTTCATTTTGCTCCTCTTGAGCAACAGGTGTTGATGATACAAATGGCAATGATCAAATCAATTCATAAAAATGGATGTATTACACTTTCCACAGTTTCAAGGAAAAACTGCTGTGGAGGAGAAATCCTTTAATGTGCAACAAAAATACATCTACATTTACTATTTCTTATGCATTTAATAGAAACATTTCTGTTGCACTTACATGTTGATAAACTTTTCTGTTATCATTACTGTTGGGCCAAATGACCTAATATGTGTCCATTTTACAAAGTTCTTAAAGTAATATGTTTAATTCTTTACCGTGGTTTGTTCCTCCTTTTTGAAAAAAAAAAATAGATTTAGTTCTGTGAAAAACAAAGAGCAAGAAATAGCAATTCCATTTAATCAAGATGGTATCTAATATCTGCTCAAAGCAAGGTAAATTCAGCAGGGAATGAAGAAGAGTAGCTGAAGTGTTCCTCTATTTTTAACTCTTTCTTGAGAACTATTTAGACTAGGCTCACCACTCCAAGATTATTTCTGAAAATCTATAGTTTAGTGCAACAGCCATCATCACTCTTAAGCATTCTTGCTCAGAAGGAAATCAGAAATCAGGCTAATCTTTCTGTGCAGTTGCTGGTTTTCCTTCCTCACTTCAGGATTTTTTGGAGAGGCTGTGTGTTCCTGAGCCTCTGGGATTGGTGATGGAGATACCCTTGCAATTGGAAAGATGTGTTGGTCAGAGGAAGCAACTTCTAGAGGGATCGTGGAGAACGAGCCCTTCCTTCACAGCCACTCGGAGTGAGTCCTTGTGGGACAGGAATCAGGGTGCCAACATTCAACTTCTGTCCCCATATTCTTCTGGTGACACAAAGGAAGAAGATGGGAAAGAAAGAATGATGGCGCAAAGCCCCAGAGGTCTGTCAGACTGTGGAAAGCCAGGGGAGGGCAAGCTGACAGACAAACATCCTCCAGGCACACTGAAAGAAAGAGATTGATGTTATAGCTAAAACTCTAGGCATCAGGCTCCAAAATACTGCCACCTTGATTCATTTCAAACCACTTTAGAGAAGTCAGTGTCTCCTAAGATGTGCCACGTGCTTCTCAGTGCCAGTAAATGTCCACTGCCAATATGTGCGTACGTGCTCCTCTGTGCACTCACTGCACAGTGGTACTGTGTAAACTGGGGGAAAATACCCTCGTGTTTGTAGGACAGCCTTTGGGCATCAACTTTTTCTCTACGGTAATGCTGACACTAGTGATGATTCTGCTCAAACAAGCAGATAAACCAGAAATAGTTCTGCTCGTCTCCAGCTTAATGAGGGAACAGAAATACGCAGTAACACAAGGATAAAATCAGGATTTAACAAACAACAATAAATTTGTGTTTTCTAGCTTCTGAAACTGGCACCATCTGAGCAGCAGAAGAATTAGCAGCCATTTTCAGTAATCACTTCTTTACTGGAATCATATAAGCAGATATATTCAGCATTATGATTGAGAATTTCTGTGCAGTGCTTTCACACAATATTTATGTAATTTATTCTGTAACAAGCTATTCCCATTTCTATTAAGAAATTATTGTATCCTACATTCAAGTCAGAGTAAATCTTAATTCTTAAAATTCTTAAAATTTAAGCTTCCTTTTTTTGAAAAGTAGAACAGAGGTGTAAAAAAACCATCACCCTTATGAAAGAAGTGACTGCAGATAACAGACGACAGAACTGAGGCAAGTGAGAGGACAAAAGAGCTAAGTGGCTAAGACACCTGCAGCTTAGCAGGGAGAGCAGCTTCCCTCTTCCAAATAAAAAATGTACATGTCTGGTACTTTCGAAAAGAAAAAGGGATGTTAAAAGAATAAGTACATAATTTACCTAATAAGACAGAACATCTAATTTGCATGATAGTTTTACTGTCAGATGTGAGTTCCTGAAATTTCTACAAAACCAAAAGTTACCTGCACTTTGAAATGCTATTTGTTCCCTGGCATGAGGAATGCTGCAACACTCAAAATACTCCCTCTGGACAGACATGGCAGAGAGAGATTTAGATCAGTGTGGTGATGCAACTATTCAGGCCAGCTCCAAAGTTAAACATGTGTCCAGCCAATGGTCTTCCAGACAACCACATTTAGAGGATGACATCTTTTTAAATTATTTTTTTAGAAGGGATGTAAACAAGACTGCAATAAATTAATCAACTCCTAACCAAGAACATAAGGGAATTTCTTTGTAGTAACCGATAAACTTTTCCTGCGCAAACTTCTTCGCATAGGAAAGTTACTCTACAAGTTTCCAGTCCTGGCCCTTTCCTTCGGTGAGCCATGAGAGAGCATCAGTCACCTCCACTGCCAAGTCCCACAGCCAGGTTTGCCAGGCCAGCACTCTATAGAGAGTAAAGCCTGCTTAAAATCTTTCCATAGTTAGATAATTTGAAAATAGGTAAACAACAGTTAAAGTTTTGTTCTACAATCCAAAATGTGAATCTCTACACAAAATAATTGTCTGTCTTAGGAATAGTCGCCGTATTCCTCTTTTCCACCCCTGCCAGTTTTATTCAGCCAGAACTGTTGGGAAGAGTTGTTTGACTAAAGTAAAAGTAAACAACATTTTAAAGGACTTAAAATATATCATATAATTTAAACCAAGTTTGTGTTGTCAAGATATCCAAATAAGCCTCAATGAACAAGGAGTATAATTAGGAAGGTTGATAATATTATTTCCACCATGAAACTTCATTAAAGGTTTTGTAATTGATGCAGAACAGATGCATCTATGAAAATAGTGTACTTTTCTTTCAAAATAACAGATGAACTTCTGACTGCCCAGGTCACTCAGTTTGTGTACTGACAGACAGGGTTTTCAGTAGTTGACCTTTATCAGATTGGCTGACTGACAGCAATTTGGTCGGTCATTCTGTTAAAGGCAAATGTGTATTTCTTGGCCCCAGAATAAAAATGTTAATTGGTTAATAGAATATCAAGCCCTCTTTCAGATCTGTACTCTTTTGTTGTTGTATTGTTGTTTGTCTCAAGTCTCTTTATCTTGCTATTTAGCTAAATCGCTAGCAATAAAATGAAAGAAAATTTGAATCAATGTGTTCAGAAAATTTGTACTATTTAAAAGCTATAAAAAGAATGAGTTGCTTCCAATGGGGACTTAAGCTTGCAGGGTACTCAAAGAAAATTTCTACTCCATTAATAACTGGGCTGTTCTAAACAGCCACATTTTCTTAGCATAAGGAACAAGATTCCACAATAGGACTCTTCATAGTGATTCTAAACATAGTATAATGTTCTTAATGGGTTAAACTCACCTGGCCCTAACAGGGCAAATTCTGGTCCTTTTGGGCTTGGATGTGTTCAGCTCTTCAGGATGTTGCTATTCAGAGGCTCTTGCATGGAGCGGGCAGCAGCTGCTGGCCAACAATGCTGGATTTCCTTCTTTGCATCTGACATGACCTAAACCAAATCACATCAGGAAAGGCAGCTACTTGATATGTCATGTGCAAGGTGTTGATTCTTCAGTTCTGTGATAGCAACCAACTGATTGAATTAGTTTGTCAACCTTTTGAAGCCCTGACAGAGCGCCCTGGTGAGAACTGACACAAGACTGCTCGGCAGCAGGCTCCAAGTCTCGCTGCATGAGAGCAGCAGCACTGGTGGCATTTTTGTCTCCCAATTCTTTCGGCTATTCCATGTTCACACAAAATCTTCCCATCAGTTTTTCCAAATTTATATTCTGTCACTGACAATTTCTGCCTGCTTCACAAATAAAAGCACCATGCTGACTTTTACCTGTTAGCTGGGGCCTTTTATTTGCAAATTACCACAAATGTGTGCATCATTTCTGAAAATATATCAGGCAAGAGTTCTCAGGCTTTTTCCTACAAAGCCAACTCCTAAATTATATTATGCACTGGCATTCACCTTTCTTCATTATTTCTTACCTTCGTAGTATGTTTCCCTGCTTTGCCATAACACTTCACATTAGTGTAGCCAATAAAATACAACATCTGCAGTAAGTACCCATTTTAGTTTCCTGCTAGTATTTAGTAACAGACTAAAACATTCAAGTACACATATAATGTAATGTGTCAAAAAAACTACTCTTGAAAACTTAAGGCATTTTTTATACCACGTAATTTGGACTATGTAGGCTTTTGAGCAGAGGAAAGGACACTTAGAA